ATACAGTTGAAGTACCGAGGAGGAGGAGAACAATTGCCATAAAAATAGTTATAGAAAAGATATAGGAAAATAACGTCATAGTGGTGGGAAACCGTGTGGCCAGGTTCGGGCCAATAACATTACAGACACTTTGGATTTTAGTCGAGGATCTCGATATATGCTCCTGAAAAAATTATTTCGGTTGAGCTCTTCGGGTAGAAATGCGAATTTATAAATAGTGACTATTACTGCTACTGATGCAAGACTCTTCGTTAAGATGAATCGAGTTTTCCGGTCATTGGCGTGTTTGTCTAAAAATAAATACGTCTAAATTCACCTTAATCTCTGCCGTCGCCAATAGCTTAGAGTAAAATCTCCGACTGATACCAGATCAGTCGGGTTTCGATCCAGTAATCGGATGTCTAGCCACACTGATGAGCTGCGAAAAATATATATATATATATATATATATATATATATATATATATATATATATATATATATAGCAAAGCACCGAACCAGATATAGCAGTAAGATTCAATACACCGACGTATAGTAAATTTATAAATGTGTAAGCTGGATTCTGACGAGAAAAATGAAAAAAAAACAAAAAACAAACAGTGAAGCAACTTTCTTAGCAGCTGATCTAATAATTGATTCAATATAATTACTCCAACTCATTTTAGTGGAAAACGTGAGAGCAAGAAGGTTGCTCTCATCTGATGGAAGACAAAATGATTCTGTATAAAATGTAAAAGATATCAGCTTCGTTTAGAGGCGTTAAAATTAACAAGCCATTCCTTGCCCCTGTTAACAACTAATTGGAGGCTATTTTCGAAATTCGGAATCCGTTCTAATGCCTACTCAGTCTTGTAAAAGTATTATTTTTTTTCAAATACAAATGCCATCACCTCGAATAGTCATTCTGCTAGGAGTTTTTTCAACTTATAAAAATATTGTGCCGGTTCAAATTAACCTTTCCTTTGTGAATGTTTATATAAGTTTAATACTTCCACTATGAGATTAACTGTTTGCTTACCTTGAGGTAGGAACCAGTCTAGGAGAATGAGAATTCAAGTATTCAAAAATCAGTCTGAAGGGGGATGGGCCTCGTCAGGTGATCTTACCCTAGATACACCACTGCTACCTCGACAGTCTTAATAAGGTACGGGACTTTCGACGAATAAGCGTGGCTCAAAATAATTCTACCCACAGAGAAAATTATTTGAAAAAATGTTAAGCGTGCCGGATATTGGGAGTTGGGGTCTGAAGGCAATAAATTAATCGTGAACCTGGCACTTGTATTTAAAGCTGAATTGAACTCGGTGTTCCGTCGTCCCATTTCCAATACTCTGTCTTGAGTTGACCCCCCACCCCACTAGTCGGGTTTTGTTTATAAAGTTATCAATATGGCAGTTAACGTTGAGCAGATGTGTGCGAATGAGAAAAAGATGAATTAAGAAAAATAGAATTGGAAAGAAAGAAAGAAAAAAGAAGTAAATAAATTGAGGAGAGAAATAGTGAGAAAAGTGAAGAGGAGGGATAGAGAAAAATGTGAAACGAGAAAGAGAGAAATGTGAAAAGAGAGAGAGAGAAATGTGAAAAGAGAAAGAGAGAGAAATGTGGAAAGAAAGAAATGTGAAAAGGAGAGAATGAGATAGAAAAGAATTGAGATAATAAGCAAGGAATGGAAAATTAGGAATGGTAAGCGATGGAAAGAGAGATCTCGATGTCGGATTGAATGTCAAAACAATGAACTGATCGATTGAATAAAAAAAATCAATCATAATTGCTGAAACAGTCTGACCATTTCTTTACACCTCATCAGTCAGAATAATTACCATTTACTCTTTTTTTTTTTTTTTTTTTATCGAAGAATTTCTTTGGGAAATTTTCTGGATATATTAGAATTGTGTAAACATGTTTCTATGATGTCACCGTGAATATAAAGTAACTCGACCCAAGGAATTTTACTTCCTTCTTGAATTTTATTCAATGAGACATTGTCAACCATTATTACTTTTGAGTAGTAATATCTTTCATTTTAATTTCACTTGCTTTATTTTACAACAGTCGTATTATCTGGAGTATTTTGTTAAAGGAAGTATTATTAACCATGGCCATTGGCTATTTTACTATCGTTGTACACTGCTGGTCAAAATCTTAAGGCGAATGAAAACAATGTACCTTTTGCTTTGTTAGATTAAACCACTTTTTTGATTAGAGTTTCGAAGAACGAAAATAAAAGGAAAAATAAAAATTGACATCTTTTTTTGGGGGGGCGTAATTTTCATATACATAGGCAAACACTAAATCGAAATATATGTAGTGTAGACCGGAAGATGTTTTTTTTTTTTTTTTAATTATGCTATTTATTACAGTTAAATGTATGTTTTGGGACGTGCGATGCCGCGACGCTAGAGTTCTTCTTCAAATCAATCAAGTGAGAATTGGCCCGTCAATTCCATCTGACAACAACTCAAGTATGAGGATCGTATTATTCAAGGAATTGATAGTAAGTTAATGTCTCATTAAATCTTGTTAGCGAAGTGATTTCGCCATTAATCACATTAACATTGCTAATTAATTCTTTGTATAAATTGCTTCTTTATGATATTTATACGCTAATATAATACAAGTTCTAGAGTCTGTTTTTTGTTTGGCCTGGGCAAAAGCTCATACTCTAATTTCGCAGAAAAAGCGAGGCGGAGAAAAAAAAGATTGCATTTTCTTTTTCTCGACGCGAAAATGAATTCGTTAATCGTACTTGTGAAAATTTTGAATTAACAAAAAATCCACAAAATAATGTACATTTAAAAATAAAAAAAAATATTCGAATTCTAAAATTCAAACATTGGACATTTTCTTTTTTTGCGGGAGTGGCGAAGCTGCCAAACAGATCTGGAACACAACTGAAAAGATTGACCATTTAGGGAGGAATATTGAAAGGTTTTAACTCTCGCCGAAGATCAAATACTCTTAAAATT